CCTGCTGTATGGCAAAGCTGGAATGGATGTTTCCTCCTTAAAGGTTCTCAGATCATGGTACCAAATGCATATATATACTAAGAAACAGGATCTGCATAGGCAATTCTGAAGGACATATAGTTTTGTATAAGAAACATAATGCTTGTTTAATGATAATGGCAACAGCTATAAAGGCAGGTCTAGGGAAATGAGCAGGTAATGTGTTAAATGTGCTGAAGTCCAAAAAGCTATCAGTCAGGTTCTATCAAACAGAGCTAGATGGTAATTCACCAACTTTATTCAAGTATCTGGAAAGCATTACTACATCAGCTCAATTCAGTGGCAAAGCTCCTACCAGGTTCAAGGGAGCTCATTTTCATTCCAGGGTTCATAATGACCTACTGGACTCCAACAAGAACATAAGGACTTCTCTGCAATATGACTACAGCACATTATAAACACTTAAAACCTTTTAGGAAAAAGTATTTTGGTTAAATAGACTAACGTAACTTTATAATGTGTGTTATTGACTTTGGTCTATATTTGATGTACCTATGGATGTCACCAACTGAAGATTATGTCAATTTGCTTGTGCATGCATATTGAATAACCATATTCCTTGTGTTGCACAGCATTTAATGCTCTCATCACTGAGGATATTTTTCTATGCTGTTCATATTTGTGTAACTTCACCATTTTCCTGAGCACAATAGCACATCTTTATGAAAACTGAGGAAGTTTGTTTAAACTACTACCATGCAAAACCCCCAAGGTCAGGAAAATTCCACAAGAAAATCACCTGGTGCACATTTACAGATGATTCATGCTATATTTAATAGAAAATACCTTTCCATTCTCGAGAATGTACTTGTCCATTGAGGGAACAGGGGCAGGATAGTACGTTGATGTATTTGCTTCCTCACTGAAGGTGTTCTGTACCTCAGGTTCAGGCTCAATTGATTCAGGTTTCACTTTTTCAACCTCAATGGCAGGTCCTAGACAGTTAAGAAAAGAGAGCAGTCTGCTATCCCAGAGAACATGAAATCAATCCCTTCATCACCCCTGGTTAACATAAGGTAACACATTAGTCATGTTCACTTTAAAGACAGAAGTAATCTAAACCAAAATCCTACTTCTGAATATCAATAAATAAGAGAAGGATAAGTATCTCTGCTTTATAAACATTAAAATGTTGAATTTTAATTTAAATGTTTTATTTTATTCTTATAGCATAAGGACAATTACAGATATGGGTAAGATTGCTTCAATGCACACTAAGGAAATTGTGTTAAAATGACACTGAAATTATAAACCAAAAGCAACAATAGTAATTCTTCAAATAAGAATTGCTATATAGTTGCATGGAAACTTGCATAATTAATTCTGATAATAACATAAATTTTCCACATAAAATTAAAAATTTTATAGAAATTTTAAATCTCTTTAGATATAACAGAGGTGTATAAAAAATAGTGAGGATCTACAGAAATGCTATAAAGGAAACAGACTTAGGCTACTTATACTAAAGTATCATGCTAAGAAAGAGTATCAAAGGTTAAAACTCCCCACATAAATTAAATTTTGATTGTCCAATCCACCCAACATTGATTTTTATTTTTAATGTAATCAACAAAAATTATGCACAGATTAAACAACAGAATAATACTAAGCATATGTTTGAAGTTTCAAATGAGGATAATTTTGTCAGTCATCAACTTTTCTTTTCGAGATTGGATTTATAAAGTGTTCCTAAGAAACTCAGAAGAAACTAAAATAATTTGTGAACTGGATTTGATGTTTCCATTGCAGGGGTTTCACCAGAAGTCTAGGCTATGGCCCCAAGCCTATCATTGTCCCTTGATGTCTGTCTCTAGGATCACGAGAAGCTCCAGTGGTCACTGAAGTTCCATGCAGGACTGGTGGCTCGACAACACAGCAAGGCTGCCAGCTTAGACCCTGAACACCACGGCCATGCACCACTTCCAAGAACTCTAAGGATATACTCACACACTTCTAAGTACTACATTGTCCCAGGTTGGTGCTGAGAGCTCTGCACCACTCTGCAGCCCAAGCTTGACGTCTTCAACAAACAGCAATTCCATCCTTATGTCACTGCCACGGATCAGCATCCTCCTCAGGGTTTGAGCATAAAGACCTTCAAGCCCTGAAGTGATCTAACTCTGCAAGTCACGCTGGCACCAGAACTCGTGTCCTGAGTCACCTATCCTAAATAGTTCCTGGGCTTGGAACAAGTACAGCATTCATTACTCCTACTTTGTGCAGTTTCATTTAGGGATTATTATACAGCAATATCAGCGTTTCCTCCGTTGTCAGCATTTGACATTTATCCTATAGCTTATTCTACACCTACATAAGCAGCTAAATGTTCTCCACTGGCTGCCACTCGATACTCAGCAACGACTAAAAGTTGTCTTGGCAACTCAGCCAATCCTACACTGCAGTGCCACCAACAAGAGTGTCATAAGAGCCATCTGCAATGCAAGCATGGCACAAACAAAGAAATCACAAAACCATCCCATTTGCATTGTAATTTCATAGTGATCATATTTTATAGTAAGCTCCTCTACTATCAGGAATGTACAATGGACAAGACAAACTAAACTTCTTAAACCTGAGTGCTGAGCTGATTCAGACTGGGGGAAAGATGTGGATTGATTAAAGCACCCAAAGCCTGCCCATAGCATGGGCACACCTGAACAAGCAGATGCAGGGACATAATTGCCAGTGTGACCTTAAGAAGTCATCTTTTAGCTGTTACTTTGAGAAAACATTCTTCAACAAAGGGCTATTTTGAGTTTTCTTATACTTAGAAAGTCACTTCGAGGAAGACACCTAAGTGCAACCACCTTCTTCCTAGAAGGAGACATTTATTTCAAGTTTAAACACTTTTTCTAGTTGCTATTTAGAAGTCTTTTACTGTTTTTATAGTCATATATTGACACAGCTGGGATTTGGTTTCCAGAGTTTCCCCAAGAAAAACAGCTGATTACAGTCCACAATAACCACAGCTCTCTCAGGTCAGAAAACCTCTGTTGCAATTCATGCTTTACTGCTTGCCTAGAAGTCACCAAGTGAAAGCTTTTAGAAGGTCTTCTTTTATATCCTGATTTTTGATTTCCAAATAGAATCCTGCCAGGTATTCTTCACAGCCACTTTCACATACCTCTAAATTCTGCATTTTCAACCCAGCATGCTGTGAATTAGACATGCAACCTGCACTACTGCCTGACTGCTAACGGGAGCTGTGTGCCCAGTTAACCACACACAACACTCCAAGTTTCCCTTCTCTGTAGCTCTCATGCTCTGCAGCTCATTTTAAAGATGATGAATGGGACATACAAAAATATATACCACTATCTAAAGGCTTAACAATGACAGCACTTATGTAGTAAGGATGAGGAGGAAAAAAAGACAGTTCTTCGGAATACAAGAAGGAAACAAATGTTTTATTGCAAAGATCTTTCTCCTTCTGATGGTATTTTATAATATCTGAGAGGACAGCAAGTTCAAATGCAGGATGAAGAGGTAGAAGGCTTCTCCTTATCATCTCTTTTACTCAGAAATGCACCTTAGGCTACAGGCTACTCAAAAATTAGTGAGTAAAAATAAATTAACTGATGAAGTGGTCAATATACATTTGTAAGCAGCAAGTTTTTCCACGTGGTCTACCAGAATTTGAAACAAAATAAGTCTGAGAAGTGGTAATATTGGTACTTCCTGTACTTGTACTTGAATAGAAACCTTGGGCACCTTTCTTTTTTTTTTTTTTTTTTTTTTGTTACATCAAAAAGCCAAACAAATCCTGAAAACCAGTAATTCCTAACATGTGGTAAGACTCAAATCCCATTTCATTCTCCCTGTTCTGGTGTCAGTCCCAAGACATGGTAAACTGGATCATTGAAATTAAACTGGGATTAAAAATAAAACTTTGGGGTCTGTGTGTATGTGTTATGAATCAACATTTATGAATGAATGTGAATATACTCTCTGACTTTAGAGCAACACAAATTCTCAGCAATGTAACATGAAAATGAAGTATTTATCAGGTAGCTAACAACACCCAAGCATTATTCCTGTACAGCTTCACAACTTCTGGCCATATACAGCTACAGAAAACTGCACAGACCTTGCTTGGAGACAAGTAATTTTTTAAAAAAGTTATTGAAATTCTTCTTTTGCTATCCAAGGCCTATTTAAAGTGCCTTAGAGGGAAAATTGGTGTGTCTTCAGGTGCAACAAAACAAAGACAAACTGCAAAGGCCTACAGTTGCAGGGCTTCCTGGTCCCAAAGTAGGCAAGGCAAGAGGTTGCACACATTCTTCCAGGAGCTCAGATGAGGGATACCAGAACCTTTTCCACAACACATTTTTCCACTGCTTTGGTCCCTAGAGCCCTGGCCAAATACCTCATTCAGGGACTGTTGGGCAGTAACATAGTAAAACCATTACAAAAAGATTAAACATATCTCCATGGAGCAGTGCTGATTTCACTACAATCATTTGCCATATCTGACTTCAAGGCTCTTTTATAACAAAGAGCAATTCAGTGTCATCATATGGAAGATGAAGAACCTCGCTCTTCCCACAAGAGTGGCTCAAGTTTAGCAGCAGAGATGAAGGCCTAGGTCTAAAGCAGAATACCTTGACTTCCCCAGCTCCTCACTGAAATCAACATGTTGATGGGAAATTAGGAGACTGAATACTTGACTGAATGTTAGCTCAAGAGGCTGTTCTATATTTGATCTGCAAGTTTAAAATGGCAACAGACACGCATTTCCCACAGCTGCAATTCATCAGCACAAACCAGCTGTCATCTCATGCAAAGAAATCAGAAGTCTCTAAGGTGAAACAGAAATGCAATTAGTTTGCATTAAGTCCAGCCTGCTAGAAGTGCAGCGTAACATAAATTACATGTAATTTGAAACTCTAGGTTTAAGAGATCGGTGCAACTGAAGATGAATTCAGGATGTAATTTATTTTCTGAACAATTTTCTGAGATTATTCACATATCCAAACATACCTCATTTATAAGATGAAAAAGGAAGACTAAGAAAGTCTTTACATATCTGTTTCTTGATTAAAAGTAGCACTTTGTCATACTGTCATCAGACTCTCTGATTTATAAGATGTCTCCCTTTCTAATTATTCATAAGTTTTGTATTGATCTTTCTAGAATGTGGTTGTTTCTCTACTGTGAATGAGGCTGCAAAGACAGGAAGAGTAATCAGTGGTTAATACACTGAGTCTTACGAAACACAAACCCTGTGAACAACACAGCCCACGGGCTCAGTTCTACCTTGTCACCCATGAAAACTTCCTTACAAGTAATAACAACATGGGATTTTTTTTTTTTGATGTTACCTATAACTCATATTTGTGCACATATGTGATTACATTAAAAGAACTCATGTTTGATGTAACTGACATTTATTTTCAGTTGTAAAGATGATGTCAGATGGATACAATGGAAATTCATGCCCCAAATTCAGGATTCAGTACTTTCTCCGAGAGGTTTCGGGTCTTTTTTTCCCCCCGTTTCTTCTAAGGTTTCTTAATTTGGCTCAAGTAAAAAGTGCCTCCCTTTATCTTAAAGTGAAAGAAATGCAACAGAATGCAGAAGCTGTCTTCATTTCACTGCTGGTCTCACCACTCCAATCGCTGTCAAGTCTACCAACTAAATTGGTACTTTAAAGTGTTCAGCCCCATTGCCTACCAACATCTGGCTCGTGCTCCATTCACATCAATTCCAGCTAACTACTTGCAGATGATGAAACATCTTTCCATCCAAGGAAAATTTTAGAAAGCTCAGTGGAATCTACTGCCAACCCCATCGTGTTTTTCAGGCTGTGGAAACCTTGCCTACTTAGTTTTATTTCGAAAGCTAACTAGAATGTTTATAAGAAGTAATGACATTTTAATTCTGCACAGTGTGACAATGATGAGCATTCACAATCAGACACCCAGGTCAAATCTTCAGGTACTCCATGACCCTTGACTCCAAAGTTGCCTTACCACATGCTACAGCACAAGCACATGCTCTCTCAGGTTCAGGTTTGGACGTGGATGTAATTCAGACCCACATGCAAATTGCATGCACTCCTTCAAGTCCAGGAGAAGAGCCAATATCCAATTTACATGCAAAAATTAAGTTTCCAGATACACAAAGGCAGATGTAAGAAACAGCATGCTAAGTGTGGATGCACAAATTCAAACCAAGTTTCAGTCACTGAGCAAATCTTCAACACAGAAGTACCACATTCTAATAGCAAATAAATGCAATTAGTAAGATTTCTGAGGTTATTCCAAGGGTACCAATGAAAAAGGATGAACTTTTTATTTTGTCTTTTTTTTTTCCCATTTATTCCAACAAATGGTTAAAAAATTGTTATAAACCCAAACAAAGGAGCAATTGACCCAAGATGTTTAAAATTTAAATCCAAATTACACAAACCTGTATTTTGTAACAAGTGTTGATAAACGGGAACACTAATATAAAAAGTTTTTTTCATGTTTCTTTAACAATCCATTACTGTGCAATTAGCATGGCTGGTTAAAGCCACTGCTAAGAAATTGAGGAATATACCACATTCTAATAAGCTACTAATGGGAAGAGGGGTCAGAAAACAGAAGGTAACAGGTACATAACAATAAGCAAAAACCCTAACTGAAAAGAACGAATTAGTTTTAGCCCAACTATTCATTCCAGTGCCTTTTCTCTTTTTTTTTTTTCTTTTTACACTGGAACATATTGGCATATTTTGTAGATGATGCTTTATTAACTTTTTCAGCATATATTGGAAGGTCAGAGACTCTTGAAAATACAGCTGCTTAAACCAGAACTCTGATTCAGCCATACCAGCACAAAGACCTCTGCGTTTTAAAGGAAAACCCAGACGTACATAGCATACAAATTCGACACATATTGTACAGCCACGGCAGAAAACCCTTTTAACATTCCATGTCCAGTTTAACGACCACTGCCATTCTTCAAATACATTTCCATTACTACTGATCACACTTGCAAAATTCATTCAAACTAGTCCCATTTAAGTCCGGCACTTACCACTACCTAGTCTTAGGAGCAGTACATCCTGGAGCCTCCTGTTCAAGTCTCTGAGCTCTTTCATTTCTGACACGACTGCCCCATACTCCTTTAGCTTCTTTGCCTGTTGCACAAGCTGTCTCCGTGTTCTCTCAAGCTCCTGTTGAATGTGTCTCATTTCTTCTTGTTGCTGTTGGTAGCTCCTCAGCAATTCATCATACAGAATCCGAGGAACTACAGCATCGTCCATATTGTTCATGCCTTCTGCAGCCTCCATAAAAACCTCCTCAGGGCTGGAAGTACTACTGAGACTCATCCCGTTCTGTTTTTCAAGGCGAGCAACAACTGCTTCAATGCTTTTGTGTGTACCTTCACTTTGTTTCCTCCCATCTTGCCTCTGCATGTAACAATAAAAAAGAAATAAATTAGGAGAGCAGTAAGATGTAATAAAATTACAATTCTACAGACTTGGGAACAGTCAATATTCTTGTTTTCTGAAAAAAACCACAAGACTAAGCCAGCCTGCAAAAACGTTTTGCCTAACAGATTCTTGTGGACATAATATACATTGTAACTAACATGCAATTGTAATTCAGCTAAATGCATGTACAAACTTCTGAGGCAGTTAAAGGCCTTTCTGCATTTCTGCAACACTTGCAAGCTCAGTGTATATAGGTCACTTGATTCTGTATATAAAGATAATTCTTCTTTTAGAAAGTGGATCTGGATCTCTTTTCCTGTAAAGTTTATCCCTAACGTTCAGATTTCTGACAGCAATTGACTTCCTGATAAGTAAGAGAAAGAATCAACTGTGAGCTACATTTGTCACCTGTGACGACATCAGGGATGAAAGCAGCACAAGGCACAAAGCTGTTTGTGAACAGAGGGCTCATCCTTCCCACACTTCAGGAGACAAAACCTTCTCTGGCTATTCCTCTAGCACATTCATCCAACTGCCTGATGCAAGTGCCTGAGCTAACACTATCAGCAAACACTGGAAGGGATTTGAAAGCACAGAAGTTGGAGACAGAATATATCATCCAGCCTCATCTCCCTTATCAACTGATTCCTTCTGTATTAGTACTGCATTGCAGAGGCTTCATGTCCTTTGAACTCTCAGCAGAATTTTAGCTTCAGTCATCTGCACAAACCCTACGTATTAAAATCACACCTCTTTTCTGGGGCCTGGATAGTGGTATTAATATGTGGCAGTATGGGTAAAGGCACGAAGTTTTATTGGCCAAATATCAAAAGACATTTGAATTTCCAAGCAACTGCAAGGAAAGCAAAAGCAGCTCTTAGGTTAGAGATGGGACGTGGACACTATCAATTCCCAGACCACAATATCCGTGAGTAATGTGGCAGAAAACAAAATTATTCGATGCTATGCCTGCTGCATGCATGCACTAAAAAGAATAAAATAAAAATTAAAAAAAAAAGCTGGCCCGCTATAAAGAAATGTACTAGTATCATTCCTGCAGCTGCAGAACACATGAAGCCATAAAGCACTATTTTACTCTGAAAGTTGGCAGACTTTTAAAGAAATCATTTGATATCAAAAAATAAATACATTTCCATAGTAGGTTTCTGGCATCTGGACCCAAAAAGGCAATTGGCAGTTATGATGGAAGAATGCAGTCTTGTCAATTCTTCTTCTCAGCTACTGCTCTAGTTGGGAAGTCTCAGGGCACTCCTTCCAACCCCAAAGAAGCAGTGTGCAATAGGTCCCAAGTGCCACCGAGAGCAGCTGCTCGACAGTGGTGTAAGTGGTGAGTTTTGAGGCATTCTGGGCCAAAGTGGAAGACCATTGGTCCCCAAATCCCAAACGGCAATTAAGCTGCAGACGGTACACACAGGAAAACGTTTGATTGCACTTCAGGTTTCGAAACCCAGACCCAACCCCCACGCACAGTGTGACCCAATTTCACCAAACACAGTGTTTTAAGGGGATCAAAAGCAGGCCTGGAATTCTTCAGCTAAGACGTCTCTGTATGCCCCAAGCATTTACAAAAAAAGTAAAAAAAAGTAAAGGGGGAGGGACCAAAATGGAAATACTTCAGTACCTTACTGTGTCTAAGCTCCACATCTTCTTCCCCATAAGCTGTAACCTCCCCAGCTTCTTCTATGTGACTGAGAGAGAGTTTGGGGATTTTAATTTTCTTCTGCATCACACTGTTCTCAAGGTCAGTTTTGTCCTCTAAAATATATATTAGAAATAAAATTTGGTTATATTAATCCGTGTTTTTGCTTCCAAATACTATGTGACTTAGGCAAGACCAGTTAAAAACCCCCAACCTCCCATCTCCAATCCCCTCGTAATACCATGATCTAATTAATCCATGGTCTAAGTCAACTGCTGCCCACTGACAATTCTAGAGCTTCAACAGGGGATCAATCTGGCCCAACAGAAGAACAAATATTGTAAAATGCCAAGCTAAATTTATGTGGTTAAAAGTGTCAATGAGTGGCCTGTACTATCAGTAAAGTAAAAGAGGCTGTATATAAAACAGCTTTCTGAAAACCATCTCTATTGCTTTCAATTATGGTTACCAATAGTATTTTTTATTCATAACCAATTGCTGCAGTTCAAACTCTGCTTAGGGTTAAAATGAAAATAAACTTGGTAATTCATCCCATACTCTAACCATCATCTGTCAGCAGCACAGATCTATTTGCACACACGGCAGATTCTGCTGCTCTGCAAAGTGCAGGGCTGGAAAGGGGAATGCTGCTAGAGAGTTTGAAAGGGCATTACACAAAACTTGCACAAGAACCAAAGCTCTAACAGAATTACTATATAACCCTATTTCATTAGATAAGTGCACTAATTCTTTCCCTTTAGATACACAAAGCCAATAAATAGTCATATTAATCTTTGCATCTCATTAAAAAATGGAAGTAAAATATTTTCAAGTCTGAAACAGTTTGACATATCTCAAATTTAAGTATTTAAAAACATTACTCTGAAAATAAATTTGAAATACTTTAATATTCCTGAAAAGGTAGAGAGGGAACAGGGAACCAAGAGCATAATCTCCCCAAAAGTACCTGTGATATATAAAATTCTTGCAGAGCAGACAAGGTTCTGAAAGATGCACAAGCTTAGCTACCTGTTCCCAACACTGACAAGGAGAAACACATTTACACTCTCAAGCATTGTCTTTGAAAAGCTTATGAATAAGAAAACATTTTAAGTCTTCTTATCCACCTGCAAATTGTATTTCACAAAGTGTCCCATGAATATTTTTGAAAGTGCCAATGAGGATGGCCCCTGTGAGTGCTTAGTTACATTGACTTTTGCTTTCTCAAATTAGCATCTCTCCACAGGACCTCAAAATGGTTCGTGTTGACAGTGTAGGAAAGGGAAACAAAGGTAAATCACTGTTTAATGAGGAGCAAGGCATTCATTAGAAATGAATTACACAGATGAATGCAATTCATTTTGTTACAGATAGAAATGGATCTCTTGTAGGCAAATGGTGATATTACAGCCCAAGGCTATGTAAAAAGAATAGGCACAGAACATGCAGAATAAGACATTAGACAACCTGAAATGAAACGCAGATGGTAGCAATAAATACTAAGACAGATGCAAAAAGAAACAGATAAACAACAAAAAACAGCTAGGCTTATTTTAGATCATTCTCCATTCCCCAGAGCATCATGGATGCTTATCCCAGTAAAACAAAAAGGCAATTCAACTGTTTCAGTTTTGAAAAATAAACCCCTATGTTTTCATTTATCTGGAAAATGTAGGTTCATCAGAAAAGTGAGATAAGTCAATTCTAATGCCAGAGATATGAGAAGAAAATAGAGGAGCCTTCCCTGAAAAAAAAATACAAACTTCTAGACTAAAGGATAAACTGATGAGTATTGGTATCTTCTTGGGAGAACAGAAATGTAAGAATAAATGAATCCATATTGAATGGGGAAAAAAATGAAAACCACCAACTTTTCCTGAGTCTGTGTATTTCAGGGTACCACATGGATACTGCAGAGCCAGCTTCGCCGGACTGCTTTGCCCAAACATCTTCCACAGAACATGCATTGACCTCCTCCTTCACTTGAAGAATGCAGATCAGTTTCTATGCTCCGAAATAACCCTTTGGCCTCACAACCACATGGACACAATCCATTACTTCACACAGTTAAAAAAACTGTCTGCCGGCAACTAGCTGAGGTCACCAGTAGCCAGAACCCCACACAAACTGGAAAGGGATCCTAGCCATCCCTCCTTCCCATGGACAGGGAAAAGCAAGTCTTGAAATAATCATGGAAAGGGGTCACAGAGGAGTAAGTGTCTGTGCAGACTACAGAAGTCAGCAAGTAAGTGTTTTCCTGTGAGGGTGCTGAGACACTGGCACAGGTTGCCCAGGAAGGTGTTGGCTGCCCCAACCCTGGCAGTGTTCAGAGCCAGGCTGGATGGAGCCTTGAGCAACCTGCTCTGGTGGGAGGTGTCTCGGCCCACGGCAGGGGCTGGGACTAGATGATCTGGAAGGTCCATTCCAACCCCTACAATTCTATGGTTCTAAGAAATACTTTCCAATGAATACAACAACATTAAAATAAAAATAATTTGGAAGAACAGAAATACTTGTCTTCTGATTTTGGCTTTTTATTTTTAAGTCAATTCACACAGGTTAAGAACACATTCTATGTACTTGACAATGGAAATGAAAGAAAATACTTAGTTTGGGGTCAAAGAAAACAATGCAAATCATCTGAATTCTTAATTTTCTCACTCTCCAACCAATCTTTCAGTTTGCCTATGACATTTATGTTTGCAAAACTTCACTGGTGGACTGAAGGCAAAAGTTTGTTCATGGATCTCCTTACAAATGCTGAGTTTGCACATT